ACCTCCATGGCCGTATTGCCTCCCTCGACACGGCTATGGACGAATATGTCGTCGAAGTACGTCTGTACGAAGGTACACAAAGAGCGGAACAATTGCGTCACCAGGCGATTGAACGTCGCCGGGGCGTTAGACAAGCCCTGCGGCATGACGAGCCACTCCCAAAGCATGCCGCTTGGAGTGCTTACCGCGGTGAGCAGGATGTCGCTCTCTCGCATCAGGATCTGGTAGTATCCGTCTACCAAATCCAGCGCACTGTACAGTACGCTCCCAGCCATGTTGTTTATCAACACATCATTTCGTGGAATTGGTGTTTGGGCCGCCACCGTCGCGTTGTTCAGCTTGTTACAAGCATGAACTAGACGCCACTTTCCGTTCGGCTTCCGAACGCAGGAAGTCGGCGTCGAGTGCGGGGATTTCGACTCCCGCACCATGCCTGCCTTCGCTTTCGCGGCGAAGAAGGCATCAATGACCTCGCACTGTTCGCACGGGAGAGGCCATTGCCTCGTAACACAATACTTTGTGCCAGCCACGAGATTGTTTTCACGCCGTACGCCTCGATCCGGTGGGAGTTGGGTCGGTGGGTGTTTGTTCACCACGTCCGCATACTCCGTCACCAAAGGATACATCGGATCCTTGAGGCTCTTAAGAATCTCAGAACCCAAGCGCGCCTGACGCTGCTTGTTTAGGTCTTCCAGGACGTTCTCGTCCAAGACAGAGGAGGAGTTCAGCTCCTCCCGAGTGGTCTCAGGTCTCATGAGCACCATCTCAGCAATCTCTCCAGCCTTGAGGCTGGCCAGGAAAGCCTCAACCGTCATTTTCTCGAGGTTCAGTATCTCTGCAACCTCTGGCAGCGGTTCCAAAGTGGACACCAGATGCCTTGACGGGTAAACCTGTCTCGCCATCGAAAGATGTGATAACACTCTTCCACCGGCCTTGTCGGAGGAGCCCGGGCCCTAAACTCCGAGTCGCTTGAAGCGACGTCGATCGGAACGAAGTTCGGATCCGACTTGAGGCGGCGGCGGCGTCTTTGTCGACGGCGTCTGTGACGGGGAGCTTTGCTGCCCACGTCTAGGGATGCCGTCGCTACGACATCCGAGGCACTCGTGGCCTCGTGTGGTACTATGGAACCCACACAGGAGCGTGTTCGACGCCTTCCTCTTCAGTTAAGGTCTGGGCGACCGCGTGTGGCACTGTGTTACCCACACAGGAAGCGTATCCGACGTCTTCCTCTTCAGTTAAGGTCTGGGCGACCGTGAGTGGAACTTTGTTACCCACTCTGAACACGCTGTTCTCAGTGTTCATGACAGCTGCAGCTGTCTGCGGAACTAAGTTACCCGCCTGTGGACCTAAGTTACCCACTTGGCCAGCGCCTCTTCTGGGTGCTGCCACCATCAAAACATCCTCGGAGTCGTCATATACGTCGACGACTCCTAAGCATCTGCCGGATGCTTTCGTACCCTGGCAACCCTTGCGGGCGCCCCGGGGCCTGACAGAGGTAAGAACATGACTCACCAATGCTCTGTCGGACTGCGCAGGGCGACTGGCACCGATTGCCTTGCCTCGCCTGTCGGCCCAGGGCTCGTGCTTCTCAAGCCAGGGCATGCCCAAGATCATATCGTAGGGATCCATGTCGAGAAAAGTAAACTTTTCGAGGCTGTCAAAGTCTTCAAACTTAACGGCCAGATCCACTTGGACGTTGGGGACAGTGACGACCTTCCTGTCGGCCAGTCGCACTGACACCATCCCATTGCCCTTGCTTTCTCTCAAAGTATCGGACAATTTGTTGCTATTACGAGCAACCGTCTGGCGGTGTGCGAAATTCTTCGACGCCCCAGAATCGATTAATATTCTAAAAGGGTGATCGTATCCCCGTACACATCCGTGTATTACGAGCAACCCGCCGCTGCTCTTCGCCGATTCGAGAGTGCAAAGACTCTCAGGGGCCAAGTCCCCGTGGTACGCGCCACCCGCGCACCCATCACGAAGACTTAGTTCTTCCCCAGTAGGGCGCCCCGCCCCTACTGGTTTCCGGTGTTCCCCTGTCCCCGGGATCATGGCTTCTGCCAGCGACCCTTGAGGACGGGCTTGGGGAAAGCCCGCCTGCGAAGTCTTTCCGCGGGACAGTCGCGCTTGAAGTGGCCCATCTTCCCACAGCCGAAGCAGCGGATGTCACGCTTTTCGGCGGACCCGAGTTCCATGGGGACTGGTCCTTTAGGGCTCGTTCGACCGGGAGCTGACAAGGATCTCCCAGGCCACGCTGAGGCCGGCGTACGCGCCTGGCGATGGCTGTACTCTTCTTGAAGAGCCACTTGAATCGCCTCTTCAAGGGTGCTTGACTGCACCCGGAACAGCTGAGTGCGTGCGGGGCCCACTCGAAGGCCGTTCATGAACACAGTCACCTTGATGTGTTCGTTGAGTGGGTTTCCCACTAGGGACGCCGTGAGCTCCCGTATCTCTTGCACATACTCGTGCAGTTCGCGTCTTCCTTGTTTACACGCGAGGAAGCGCGAACGCTGGCGGTACTCGTAGTTCGCCGGGAGGAACGCGGCTCGGAGCTGCTCACACAGCTGAGACCAGGATGTGAAACATCCAGGGGATGTCGCTTCCCGAGTGTACACCCAACTCTTAGCACGACCGCTAAGGTTGGAGAGTGCAAAAGCAACACGAAGTTGCTCGGGTCGAGATCAGAGCCGCGTCCATCGCGAGCTCTACTTCTCGGACTCAGAAATGAAGGTTCTCGCCTTCCTTCCCTTCATACGGCTTAACCTTCAGCCGTATTGGCTTCGGGTGAGGCGGATTTGCTTCCGCCGCCGGAGCCTGCAGGCTTTCCCGCACATGCGCGATGAGGCCCTGCTCGTACATGCCAAACTCATTGACGCGCTCGAGCTGCTCGGCCGGTGTTGACACCACCAGGCTCTGCAGGGCCTCCATCCCGAAGATGCTGCCATCTTCCGAGCCGATTCGAACTGAGAGTCGTTCATATGGGAGAAGTCGTTCCTGTCCATGGCAACGAACTTCGGAGAGGTTCAGGTAGTCTACCCGCGGTGGCGTGGATTGACTACGAGTGCTACCAAGTGTGACGGGGTCACACAGCACCTTGCGCTAGAGGAAGTTGGCTTCCAAGAGTATGCAAACTCTCAGTGAACGGCAGCTCACAGGTCCCTTTTACCTAAAGGGAGCGAAGTGACCAATTTAAGGTAGGTTGTAAGCTGAGTATTTTTATAGGTAGGCTAAAACTGAGTTAAATATACAAACTATAAGTCACCTATATAAAAGCAATGTCATCAGCCAATGGTTGGCCTCGGGCGACCTTGGTACCGTGTACCAAATATCCCGAAGTATGACGTGTCACACTTCATGTAACTACGGGCACACTTAGTCTCGTACACTGATCCCACGACTCCTAGGATTAGTATGTCGTCGATATAGGATTTGAAAGAACTTAATCCGCTTTCTTAACAATCGATGACATATTCGGATCCCCCGCAAAATTTCACTCTAGAGTTGCCAATAAAAGAAAAATCGAACTCAACAAACGGCTGCAACGAGTACATCTGCTAACTTGTAAAATAGGTTTTATTGCTGGATCATTTAGCTTCGATTTTCTTAAATAATCTTCGTTGCTTCCTAATAGCTAGCTTACGGCGTAAGGCTTACGCTACATGTATCATACCTAGTGCCGTGGGAAGCATTTACAATCGTATCAGCTGTAATCCAAGCGAGGTGACATTAAACTTTTGTATTTTTCGACTGATTGTAACTAGGCCTCCGTCCACTTTTTCCTAATACTGGCCATTTCGACAGCATCACAGGCCGCGGGGTACGCAGACCCGATGTGCCAAGAGGTTGACGTGGAACTTGTCCTGTGATCCTTGGGAGGATGGCGCACCCCCCTGCCTCGCTGGACCTTGGTACCATTGGCATTTTCTGTTGATGTTGCTTCATTTGTAAATTCATTAGTTGGTATGTGGAGTCTTCGAGCATGGCCGTTTGCTTTCGCACCACCGTTTGCAGCCTTAAAACCATTCGTTGAAGCTCGTCCATCTTGGCATCGTGGTCACGTAGAGTCTCTTCAACCTGCTGCTGGACCAGTTTCTTGATCTAGTCCACTGCCTCTTTCTTCATCACCTTTCGGCGGCTTTTGCTGGATGAAGGGGCACGAGAAGGTATAACACTTTCCTCATTCTGCATTTCCGCCTCAATAAAGCGACAGTGTACTATTTCCTTGACAGCATTCAGTCGCCATTGTTCTTGCTCATTTGTCAAGACTTTGTTGCATATTCCGACGTTGCTCTTCCTCTTGCTTGGATCTTTGCGTAAGCTGTCGACATCCGTTTCCAGCTTCTCGCCGGAGTTGCTGCATTTTTATCCTCTCTCGGGCTTGTTGGACTTCTCTCTTCGCTCGCTTAATTTGCACGCGTCTGCACCAGAGGTATGCCCATCGCAAGCGAGCCCATTTTTGAATAGTAGTTGCCGCATCCTTTTCTCGTCGAAGGGCTGTTTTTCTCTTACTGGTACGCTGTCTTGAATACGCACGTGCTACCCACCTCTGAATGCGAGCCGAAGCGGTCATGCTGAGTTTTCGCTGATCCCAATTCCTGGCACGCTCGCAGTTATTCTGAATGACAGCAGCATGTCTTCGATACGCTCTGGTGATCACGTTAGCAGCTGTGGTCTCTGCGTCTGGTCTCTTTGTGGCGAATTCTTCACCTGTCTGCACTCCCCCCTTCTTCTCAATAGTATCGGATATTTTGTCAACTTGACCCTCGTCAGCCTCTTGGCATTTGGTCACATGCATATCGCCCTGTAGCTGTGGAGCTGTCTCCTCTTCGTCTTCAGTATCATCCTCATTTCCATTGTGATTCACATCAACTGCATGTTGGCCCAAATGTTCCTCCTCGTCGGTGTCTTCGTCATGTCCACGTTCCCTCCAGCATTTTCGATGCCTCCGTCTTTCTCGCTCTGCCTGCACACGATCGTAATTGACCACTGGAGATTCATCAAAGGAACAGCACGACTAAACAAACCTGCCGCCGAGCATCTCGCACCGCTTGGCTTGCTCTCTCGGCCTGCTCCAGATTTTGCCGCAGCAGAAGAATAGCTCCGCGGTTATCAGTGCGCGTTTCTTCCACCTTGTCGTCTTCGTCACCATCTTCGATCTCTAAGGTGGCAAACCCTTGTCGAAACTGTAGCTCAATTCGCTGCCGTGAGCTCGCAGGAGGCCGTGGTGTTCTGCCTGCATCAACTAAGCTTTTGGCACTCTGCATCTTAAAAACAGTCCTTAATGCTTGCACGTAGTTCGATGGGAAGATACCAATGACATCGGGACTTTCCACGTTGTATCCAGACCACCATCCGTCATCCTGTACTTGCAGCACTCTTAAAACGTCACCTTCTATGAATCTCAACTCGTCAGATTCTACACGTCCAATAAAGAAACATAATACAGCCAGTGTCAGTCAATACCATTACATGTATTAACATTTGAGCCATGGCATTGGAACGGAAATGGCAATCGAATACGTTCAGGTTCGTAGTCGTAAAGTGCTGTGACCTGCATACTCCACTTGCGGTCTCGGCGGAGCTCCCCCATTATGACACGCAAACTTTGTTCAAAAGGCGCGTAAGTCTGAAATAGCATCGTGTCAGTTATTGTAGCACGCACAATAGCAAAAAACTACGGGATCACCTGATCCCGTATTTTTTTTTATCCATCACCACCATTACGGTGCCGGCGTGAAGGTTTCACGTTGAAGCTCTTGGGCAGGAGCCTTTCACTTTGGGTTGTCGCCAATTACTTCAATAAGCCCATTGGAGAGCACATTCACTACAACAGAGTGGATAAGGAACACCTTGTTATTTAATAAATGTACGACCATCAAGTCACGCATAAAACGAGACCCCCATAGTATT